CAGTGGTGTTCACACCGTTGAGTGACCGTTTTAATTCCATACACTCGATGACCAAACACCTCTGGCCCTGATCGTGAAGTAAAGATGTCCGCTGCCTCGTGTTTGACCATACGAACGACGTCCACCCAGCCGACCACTTAAAAGAGGTCAGCCAGGTCAATGAGCGGCACATGACTGTTCTGGGTGGTCCATCCATTCGGTAGATAAGTCGGTATGTAGTGTAGTATGGAATGCAACTGGATAGTAATATAATTATACAGAATATTCACTCACATGTTTCAGAGATTCCAATTAATAAAAGAATCAAGTGGTCGAATCCCAACTCTAGCATATTTTTCAGCCAAATGTAATCAGTGGTATCATGTAAAACAAAATACAAATGTAGTGCTCTCTGTAGATGAAAACTGTGCACTAAAGAAAGGAATACTACTAACATATTTCTGATGAATTAGGATATTGCTCAGTCCTTAAAATTTTAATATTTCCACTATGGATATGACCGGAGGAGGGTGGTCACAGGTAAAAGGGAATCCAGGAGCAGGATAAAAAGTTTAACTTTATTTATGACTGGTAAAAACAATAAAATATAAGATGAAATATATTAATATGGCGGAGCCAACAACCGAGCCGACTGGTCGCATCTCCAGAGAGCTCCGCGAAATATCAGCACAAAAACAGATAAATCAACTATTTTCACCCCCCCCAAAAAAGAGGAAACAAGCTGAACTGCATTAGCAATCAAGACAGCAATGGGCAGGAAAAATAAAAAACAAAAATCGGACATGCCACGACCAGGCACGAGTATTGGGGACCTATGGCGGCGAGCACATGGAGCCCAGGAACCTGATATGTCAGACTATATGGACGAATTTGACAACTCCACGACCATATCTCGGACCCAGAAGAGGTGAACTTACCCGCAACACTGTTGCCGATTCAGCCCAAACTACAGCCGGATGCCACACCGGTCACGAAGGCCGAGATGCGGGAGCTACTGGCAGAACTCCGACGGAACATTCAGGCCGACATGGCAGACATGCAAAAAAGACATCCAGGGCCTGTCGAAGCACATAGGTGCTGTGGAGAGAGATTCCAGCAACTACACAAGGCAACTGACCACGCTACAGCGGGACATAAAGTCACTACAACAGCAGCACCAGCAGGTGGAACAAAAAATGACGGCAATGGAAGAATCACAGCGCACTCAAAACATTAAGATCAGGGGAATAGCGGAGTCAGTCCCGGACACTGAACTGCCTCACATCATAAGACGTCTGGTAAGCAAAATACTCCCCCTGAAACAGGCCAAAGGAGTAAGTCTAGATGGCGTCTTTAGAATAACCAAACCAATGACAGCCCCATTAGCAGCACCCAGAGATACAATAGTTAAACTCCAAAAGCAGCAGGATAAAGAGGCAATCATGTCTGCCACCAGGGAAAACACACCATACGCTTTTGAGGACATGTCCCTTACATTTTATGTGGATTTGTCCAGAGGAACTATGACATGGCGCGCAACCCTCAGGCCACTCACCGCCCTGCTTCGCGCACATAATATCAAATATCAATGGCGCCAACCCCACAAGCTTCAGGTGCTTCATATAGAAGCTACTTATTTAATAGCTGACCTACAAGAGGCGAGAGACCTGGGGCCTCCCACAAGACGCCCTACAGCAACCCCGCAAAACCACTAACACCCATGAATGGAATCTGGCCACATCCGAGACGTTTATCCCAAGAGGGTCCACCCAAGCTGCACTGACAACGGGCCATACCTGAGAACCTCTCTTGGACTTGTCGGACCAAACCACCCGCTCTTCACAGTGCCCGAATGTATAAAACAAGGCCGCAAACAAGATATGATACTTTACTGTAATGTTACATTTATCTACCTCATTTAAATGCCTGCTATCTACATGTCAGTATTCCATTACGCTTCACTCACTGCACACCCTGCGCTGCCCTTAACAGGGCGGAAGCCCCACTTACTAAAAGCAACAGGTCAGACCGCGACCTTAAGCACTATGTTAACAAAGTATTACGATGTTGTTGTAAAGTACTATGAAAATGTCTAGAGCTCGCACTTATGATGCTTGATATGCCCAACCTACCCACTTGTATATTGCTCAGTTCAATCCGTAACACACACAATATGTTTAATAGTTTAAGATTAGTTTTACTATAAAATGTGCACAATTTTCAATGCCACTGTTTATACTGCAATGATAAACGTTTACGCTGTTGTGGCATCATTGATATGCTCTGTAAACACCTGCACAATAAAAATAAAGAATATATATAAAATTATACTTTAATACAACACTAATGTGTTTCATCTTCTCAAAAAGGCTATTTCAATTTGTATAAAGAGATTATGGGAATTGCCCTATTATAGGTCTGTTTAAATTCAAATTTGGTACCAAAACATCATCATTAAGTTGAGGAATAGCCACATTATAACAATCATCTGCATTGAGCACCACTACTGCTCCACCTTTATGCTCTTTATTTATAACAATAGAAGTATTAAACTACAACCAATCTTATGCTTTTCTCTCATCTGATAAATTACCTCCTATAAAAGGACAATATCTACGAGTAACACGTAATTGTAGGTCCCTATGATTGTATAGGATAAAATAAATATTTAACTCTAGGTCTGAAACTGGATGTGGGATTAAAATCCCCTTGCTTAATATGGTATTGCCCCTCCTCACTGGGGGATTCCAAATCTGTCACCAAACATGCATCACGAAAGGAAAGGAAATGTGTGGGGATGCTGCTTGTGATATATGTGTAGGGAGACTACATATGGTATTAGACGTGTGGGAATGCTGGTTGTGTGCATAGAGTAAGGTTGCTTGTGGGTTTGGGTGTTTGGATGGTGCTGTTTGCAGTGTAGTAAGTGAGTGAGTGCATGGTAATAAGGATGTAGTGGATGCAGGGGAGATTGGGGCTGCAGCAGGTGCACAGGAAATAGGGGCTGTATCGTGTGCAGGGAGGCACAGGAGTCCAATCAAGCCCATGCATCCTACATATGTCTTCCCTTTTCAACACCCACAGTCCCTGTCTCTCCACCAGCCCTCATTTTCTTTCTAAAATATTTTCAAGAAGCATTCCTGCTGAGCGCTGTCTCTGCCACTCCTTTTCTTCCTAGTCCAAAAGCACCCTGCAGGAGGTGATGTCACTTCCCATCCCTGGCTCTCCCCCTCACACAGAGCACCACACATTCAGATTATGGAGGAGACCTGGCAAGAAGAACAGAATTGCTGCCAGAGTTCTGTCATTTTCCTCAATCCATCAGCTGTTTCACCGCAATTTCATTTACTGCGCATGTGTGCAAGCCCACACACCTCCCTATCAGCAGGTCCATTAAGCACATTTATTAATTTTAAAATCAAGTTTAATGAAAAGCATATGCATTCAACATATTAATATTTGAATTCAGCACTTCTAATAATAATAGGGAAACTGATGTTTATTAGTAGTACATACATAGTAGTACATAGCATTTTAGGTAATGAACTAAATTAATAAATAAAGTATATTATATTGATTCCTCTAGTATTTATATTTGACACTTTAAGTTTTGATATCTCAATTGAGCAAGTAAAATAGAGCAGTCTGAGCAACACAATGGCTTTGCCTTCGATTGCTTCTACTTGCGCTCGGGAACATGGCATTTTTGTGGACCTGCTGATAGAAAGGAGTGTGTTCTCGTGCACATGCGCAGCACATGAAATTGCAGTGAAACAGATGATTCCACTTCCAGTGACGCAGTCCAAACTTTGGAAGTGTTCAAAATGACAGAGCATCAAGTCATCATAATACAGCAGGATTTGTTTAATCCCCTGCTGTGAAGATTGAATAAATATATGGTTGGCAAGAAGTCGTTTGTATAGTCTACTTTATTTAAATAATAATAATAAAAAAATAAAAATAAAATATATATATATATATACACACACACACTCACACACTCTCTCTCACTCTCTTATAGAACTCTTGCATAGCTCATTTTAATGTATTGTTTTATTGCACCTATTAAACATATTACTTGGACCTTACTTGATCTTGAGAAAGACTGTCAGGGGTCAAAACGGCAATCGATTTTCAGATGTAATTGTTTATTTTTTTATTAAATCACCATTGAAGTATACAAGTCCTGTGAGTGCCTCCGTTGATAATATTTGGATATACGGAACATGGATAATAGCACCAAGGCAAAATCTATCATAGAAGACGTCAGGAGAGTGCCATGCTGTTTTGATTTATATATATATATATATATATATATATATATATACATACATACACACACACACAGCAACCTCTTATAGAGCTCATTTTAATGTATTGTTTTATTGCACCTATTAAATATATTACTTGGACCTTACTTGTTATACAGGTTCACAGACAGTCTAATTAATGTTTTCCTTTTTAGTTTGAGCTAATATTGAGGATAAAGAAGATATTTTTCCTATATATGTTATCATGCATGTATCTGAAAAAGCAGGAGCATTTTCACTTTGAGTATCTGTTTGCATTGTTTTTGAGTTAACTATTTAATTGACAATGTGACATGCAAAGTTTCATTAATGGCACTTGAATGTTTAAGCATCCAGCTGCCTCTTTTTTGTGCCATTTAAAGGCACACAGCTTGGTTTATTTGTTTGACAATAATTATCTTTCTAGATATAGAAAATCCCTTTGCATTCTTATGCAACTTTGTTGTTGTGTTCTATGGGTTTGTGTGATTTCATTAATTAAAGGAATTTTTAGACATTTATGAACATTGTAGGTGCCATTTTATCTTTAAGTACTTGTTCTGAGATGTTGCATTATACAGAACCCAACAAGCATGACACATGGATGATGAAGCTCTTTGCTTTAGAAGTACAGTGCTTAGTATTGAATATAATGTTTCCATAGTAACATCTGCTTCTGACCCCTAAATAAAAGGGGAGGGCACAAGGAGCCATTAGAAGAAAGAACTGATACTCCAGAGAAGACAAGCTCAATATTGTTCCTTTCAAGATTTTCATGTAAGTACTTTTACTGAATGTATGAATTTATTTTTTTAAAGTAAAGAGTAAACCATAATGAGCTTTTAATTGTACTCTTATAAATGCAATACACAATCCAAACACATTGCACATTTTAAGAGAACTCACACATTTCTCACTTTACACACACACGGTATTAATTTGTGTTCTCTCTAGTTATTACATTTTAAAAGAAAAGATAGGACACATTTTTTTTATTATAAAATCTATTTTATATGGATTTTGTTAATGAATCATTTGGCTAAAATTTATAAAAAAAAAAAAGATTTAAGATAAGACTTGTGCCAATTTAACACAAAACTGTTTTTACTGCATCCTAAAACATATATCTGCCCGGTTATCTAAAGGTAAAAGCAAATGTTGATGTAAATATTACTATATTATATTATACTCTATAAATAGTATGCTAAAGAACACTACATTATACTACATTATAATATATTATTAATATTTTCGGTTATGAGCAAAACATGAACAAAGTAAAATAAATTATATATATATATATACAAAAATAGAGACTTAAAAATTTCACATGCTTTCAGTAAATCTTATGAATATGTTTCTTTAAAGTGGTAAACATTTGTTAATGAAATGACACAGACTGAACTAGACATTAGAGATTTATTTTGGTCTGAACTGCAATTCATGCGATTTTGAGCTGATCGGGTGATCGGTCGAATTCCCAAACGCTGAGCCTAGATGTACCCGAATAACATGCCAACGCTTTATTTTAGTACATGATTTTTAAATGATTGATGGAAAAAAAAGATGATCATGGGTCATTGAATGATGATTTTATTCACAGATCAAGCGAAACGTTGTGAATAGAGGGGAAAAAAGGAGGACCATTTAAAAAAAACAAAAAAAACCTATATTTATATATTAAATATTTATTAAATATATACTTTTTTACTTTTTTAAATGCTCCTCCTGTTTTTCCTCTCTATTAGTTACTTTTTATGACTTGATCTGTGATCCTAAAATGCACCTATTAGTGTACTGCAAAATATATACATAACATTATATTACTTATATTATTATCATTACTTCATATTATATTACTTCAATGTTGAAAGATTTTATTGTTTTTTTTTTAAAAACACCTAATCTAGGCAAAAATAATGAGGGTTTAGTTACATTATATGATCATACATTGCATAAGCCCATATATTTGGGAGTCTAGCCAACTCCTTGGTTTTGCACCCCTCCCTGTCACAGGTGCCTCATCCCAGGGCCCTATTTAGCCTTGTACTGCAGAGAGCCCCAGATGGAATTTTCCCCCCCCCAAGTAAGTGGGTTAATTTCATGAGAGCAGACATTAGGCTGTTAGTGTAGGACCTGCCAAAGATGGGGTACATTGACATTGTGGCAGGCTTATGCAATGTATGATCATATAATTATTTTTGCCTAGATTAGGTGTTTTAAAAAAACCAAATAAAATCATTCAACATTGAAGTTGCTGTTTAGTGGATAGGTGAGTGCGCTGGATCTTGTGTATTGTATTATTTGGCCCCCAGCAGCACCCCCATTTATGCATGTTCAGGTGAGTGCAGCCAACCCCCTCTTGTTTCATAACATTATATTATGTATGTATTTTACCGTACACTAATTAGTCAATTTACACAATTTTATGTTTCCAAATCAACTTGGCTCTTGACAAGGCATTCAATACAGTTCCACACAGTATGTTAGTGTTAGTGTTAGTATAGATCAGGGGTAGTCAACCTTTTAATGCCCACTGCCCACTTTTGTATCTTTGCTGATGGTAAAATTACCTTACCGCCCACCAGTGCCACATTAGCTAATTTTATAGCGCAATTGTGATTTGTTTAAAAAGAAAGGAGTTTTTTTTTTAATATGTACTCAAAGGTATCTATTTCTTATTCTTTTTATTTTCTATTCTACGTTTCTTCTATATGTGTGTGAGTGGTGCTGTGTGTGCATGTGAAGGGTGCTGTGTATGTGATGGGACAGTGTGTGTGTGAATGGTGCAGTGTGTGTGTGTGAGTGTTGCTGTGTGTGAGTGGTGCTGTGTGTGTGAAGGGTGCAGTTTGTGTGTGAGTGGTGCTGTATGAGTAGGAAGGGTGCTGTTTGTGTGTGTCTGAGGTGCAGTGTATGTGAGGGGGCAGGGTGTGTAAGGGTGGCAGTGTGTGTGTGTGTGTGTGTGTGTGTGAAGAGTGCTGGGTGTGTGTGTCTGAGGTGCAGTGTGTGTGTGTGTGTGAGGGGGCAGGGTGTGTGTAAGAGGGAAGTATGTGTGAGGAGTGCACTGTGTGTGTGTGGTGGAGGGGTGCAGTGTGTGAGGAGGCAGTGTGTGTGATTGGAGCAGTGTGTATGTGTGTGTGTAAAGGGTTCATAGGGTCTATGCAGTGTGTAGGTGGGTGAGATGTGAAAATCTATCTTAACTTTCTTCTTACCACTACTTTCTTCTTACCTTTCACCAGGGAGGTGGGACATATTGCTGAAAGCCCTGCTTGTCCAGTATTGGCATGCTTACTTTAGCCTGTAGCTCCTTTGGCTGCAGGCTGACTCTCCTGTCCTCCTGAGAGCACAGCAGCATATCGGAGCATTGCCATAGTAACATAGTAACACGCGGCAATGCTCTGACCAGCCTGCTCGTGGGAACAACACAGAGCCTCCCAGGCCCTTCTCTCCCTCTGCTGGAACTCAGTACCAGGGGGGCAGTGAGGAAGATCTTTGATCTCCTCACCAGCCCAAGAGGGCTTATAGCAAAGCTGGCTATGCATGGGCTGGCAGAGGAGATGAAATGATCTCCCGTGCCGGTCTTGGTCCATGGCCATCATGGCCCACCAGGCGTTTTCTGCAGAACCCACCACCGCCCACCTGAAATCCCAAAGCGCCCACTAGTGGGACCAGGTTGACTACCTATAGTCTAGATGAAAATATTGTTCTTTAGTAGAACATTGGTTTAAATATAGAGTACAGAAAGTTGTCATTACTGGTATGTTTTCAAGCTGGACAAAAGTGGTAAATGGCAGGGTTCAGCTCTGGGACTGCTGCTATTTAACATTTTTATAATTGATCTTGAAATATGCAGATGACACAAAACTCTGTAAAGCAATACAATGTCTGGAAATCTATTCATAATAAGAGCTATGCATAGGATACAAATTCACACATCTAGAATAGCAGTAAGCAGATTTAGTCAAATGATCAGGGATATAATTTTTAATTAATGGGGTCCAAGGAGATATCTTACTTGCATTACTTGCAATCTTTAGGTTGAATAAGTTTGGCTTCGTGGATCAATACAGTGTATTGCAGTGAAAGAAGAGTGTGAAAGACCATTCTGTGGTGATTCTGTCATGGATGGATTTCAACTCCTAACATCCACAGGCAGGCAGCTGACGAATTTCGATATAATTGATTGTCCATCAAAAACAGGTTGACATGGAGCTGTGTGTGAATAGAAAGTGAACAAACATGATGGGTTCAGGAGTTGGTTAGACTAATTTACAGCCACTCAATTATGTCTGAATAGACAGCCAACTACTGTCAGTGATTGATAGAAATTGACATTCAGCAACAACAGTTAGATTTGGGATTATGCATGAACAATAGATGTTGCTTGTGGGTTCTACTAGGGAGTTTTAGGATCCCACTTGGGTGTCCAGTCTGTGTCTAATTTATGCACCATTTGTTTGTCAGCTCTAAGTATCTTGTAATATTGAAAAGAAATATCACCTTCAGTAATATCCTTTTTGATATTGGTACTTGAACGCACCATATTTGAAGTTAATCATACAGCATAAAGTTAGGTTAATGCTGCATGTGCTGGGTTAATGGAAACCTATAGTGTTAGGAATACACTCGCATCAAGCCTTCCCCATAGGAAAAAATTGCCTTCTTATGGGGTTTTCTCTAAAGTGTTGGACATCCTCATGCAGTGTCTGATTGACAGTCTGAGACAGTCCTAGTCCTGCAATGTACTTATTGCAGTTCTTTTAAAACTGCAATGTTTTAAACTGCAGGACTAAGTGGAACAGGGGCACTGTACCCAGACCAATTCAATGAGATGGGGTCTATAGTGCCCCTTTAATAGTGCAAGCATAGAATTTCTAAATATAGGCTTATAACATTTTTGGATTCATTCAAAGAATTGGTTTCATAATGTAACACATCTGAACTTACCATCAAGATAAATTAATTACCTTCCTGCAGCATAAAGGAACATTAAAGTCATCCTGGCCCAGGCCTGGTCCTGTCCTTTAAACTTGCTATGTAAAACATTGCAGTTTTTATAAATTGAAGATTAAATCATCTTGTGGCTGTCTTCCTGAAATCCCTTCCCATATCCTGCTGTCCCTCTTTTCTGAGCTCCATATTGTTGGTGTATGAGTGTATAATAGAGTCCCAGAGCTTTATTACTCATAGTAATGTGTCTTTAACCTACAGTAAATTTATTTAGAAATCAGACAGAATGTGTAAATTAATACATTGTTTTTGTTTTAAATTAAATGTAGTTCTATAAATTATTATTGTCATCTATATGGTCACACACTCACGCCCCTAAAATTAAAGTGTTCCTCTTTGTCCATTTGAAATATTGGGTATACTTTAAGGCACAGGTGTCACAAGAATACTGGTCAATACAGTGCACTTTGTTTAATCCTATGTTGTCATTGTTTAATAACAGAATAAAATAAGCCTATGTTTTCTTTCTCCCATTAAGAATTCAGAATAAATTGATTGCATATCTTATATTTAAAAAAAATAAAAAACTGAAAATGGGCCAAAGGTATATTCTCTGGACACCCATTCTTAATATGACATCACTCTATAGTATCTGTATTTTGTATAGTTAACATGAAACAAATCATGAAACAGGAACATCAAATATTCATGGCTATTGACTGGTTCCTTCTGCATCTACTAGTGTGAAAGATGAGTGCATTACTGTTTACTTCCTTATTAATCTGTTTGTTAAATGTATAAAATGTATGTTAATTTCATTAATTTTATAATTTAAATACTTGTTATATAAACATTAAAACAAGAAACATAAAAAACAGAGAACAATATAGCTAATGTACCATAAGATGCACAAAGAGAACCAATAAAATGGCAGTAGCTTTAAAACAAATAGTACAATATTATAAAAGATAATATAAATGTCAATGTACTCTAAAACATTGTGTGTGAATTGATAGGAAAAGTTTACAGTGAAATGAATCAAATATTCTCTTGAATTAGTCAATAGTTTACTACTACAGCTGCTATTAAAAAAAAAATGAAGTACTTGATAAAGGTTATCTTTATAAAAGTAGTGAGCATGGGAGTATGGCAAATCTAAACAATACAGTATTTGGTTAACTAAGGGGTTAGATGTAAGCAGAAAGTACTACATTTAGGAAATGTGTTTTTCTACTGAATAATGCTAAAGAGTATATTCACTAAATTGCAAGGATTGTTAGGCAAACTTATAAAAATGAACACTAAAATATAAGATTTGTTTTATTTTCACTTTGTCACTATTGGTCACTTAATTAATTTGGTAATATTATTTACACCATGTATAATTATTTTAACCTATTGTTTTTTTTGTTTTTTTTTGTGTGTGTTAATTGTTCTATTTCAGAACAGAAAAATAAATCAATAATGTCAACAGAATTAGTGTCACCACTAGACATCTCAGAAGACAGATTGGATAAGCGAGAGAAACGCTGTAACCTTTTAGGTAAATGTAATTATTGGCGATTATTTCATATGATTCATTAGAGAAGGATGAGGATGAGTCATCCCCGATTTGTCTAGAGAAAAGTAGATAATAGTTCACCCAGTATACTATTAGAAACGTGATATCCTTTTCCTTCTGGTAAAAAGCTTGATGCCAGATGGGAAGGATGATCATATGGTTTCCTTCCCTAGAGTCACATATGTTGATATATTGAAATTACCTGAATACTTCAAGTATACCATATTGTGTTATCTGGTCATTTACAGAACAGGCATATGAATTGTGTAGTGATTTCTGAGAAACAATACCATTTTTAACAAAATTGGTTCCTTTTAACCCCTTCATGTCCAAAATCATGTATAAATAATTTCAAAGGTGTCCCAAAATCGTGTTAACATACTTTTCAAAAATGCAAATTAAGTCAGTCTTTTGTAAATAAATATATTAACGCTATGTGTGTCCTGCTTTCCCTCTCCATGCCAATTCTTAGAGCCAGGGAGCACAGACATGGCCAATAACTTAGAGCCTGCCAATTTCCAACCAGCTGGGAAATGAGACTAGCAGCAATGGATCATATGCCGCCGTGTTTATGCATTTATATGTCATGCTGCTAGAGATTTTGATCTACTTGCAGCAAGTTCACAGTACATTTAGAGGGAGACCTGTATGGAATGGGGACAGGCAGACATGTTGGTAATCCCAGTGTATGTGAACATACTATTTGCCCACAGTGAACTCACCAACTCCTCTTGGTAGGAAGGAGCATGAGCTATTATAGTACTGGCTAAACCTGGCACAGTTCTAATGAGACTGATTGTGCAGCATGTGGAATGTAATAGTGCCCAGGTTAGCTGTCAGCCGAAGTATGGGATGTCATTGAGTGCTGATCTTTAGCAGGTAGATCTAGCAGCATGCATATGAATACAGAAAACTGGTGACATATGATCCTTTACTGCTATATGGGGCTGTATATATGTGGAACACATGGGGACAGCATGAGAGCATTACAAAAATAATGAGAAAAAAGTTGATGTTACATATTCACAAAAGTTGTTTTTTTACTGTATATTTACACTGACACACATGTAGATACACAGATACACACACTGACACACATGCACCTATACAGGCACACAGATACGCACACTCACACACATGCAAATAAGCAGACATATAAATACAAACACTAACACATATACAGATTCACAGACATAGCGATACAGACACTTACACACATATAAATACAGAGATACACACCCTGACACACGTACAGAAGCACAGATTCACACACTGACATATATATATATATATATATATATATATATATATATATATATATATATAGACAATCCTCAGATGCACACACTGACAAAAATACAGGAACACACATTGACATACATACATACATATGTATCTTACAACTCCCTTGTATGTGTCTTACTGTTCCACAGCACTTCTGTGTGTGTCTCTCTTCCTCATCCCCTTTGTGTGTCTCTTTCTCTTCCAGCCCTTTGTGTATCTCTTGAATCTCCCAGACCCGTTGTGTGTCATTTATTCCTCTGCAGCCCCTATGTGTGTCTCTTACTCCCAACAGCCCCTCTGGGTGTCTTTCACCCACAACAGCCCTTTTCGTATGTCTTTTTCCAAGTCCCTTTCTCCCGCCACAGCCCCTTTTGTAGTTCTCTTCCCCCAGAGCTCCTTTTGTAGGTATCTTCCCTCGGCCCCTTTTATGTGTCTCTTTCTCCCTTTCCCCTGTGTGTGTGTGTGTATCTTCCCCCCAGCCCCTGTATGTGTATCTTTCTCCTTCCTCTGCCTCTGTGTGTGTGTCTCTTTCTCATTTTCCCCAGTGGCTGTTTGTGTCCCTCCACCCAGCCCCTCTGTGACTCCTTCACCAAAGTGTGTCTCTTTCTCCCCTTTTCCTGCCCCTGTTTGTCGCTTTCTTTCATCACAGCCTTTTTTGTATGTCTCCCCCCACCTTCCTTTGTGGTCTCTTCCTCCCCCCACAGCTTGCTGACCACCCTCCATTTAATGTGGCGGAGAGGATAGTGGTAAAGGGTCTTCAGTATTCTCTACCAGATCTGTCAGGAAGCTGTTCACTGTGCTCAGTAAGCACTTCCTGTCAGATTTAGTAGAGGATACAGAAGGTCCTCTCCCTACGTCTACTCGGCCACACCACACAAAGTGACTGTCAGTAGTTTTCTTGCCTTTATATCTTGTCTGTCATGCTAAAGTGTAGTTTTGTAAGCCCTTTTTGTAATTGTTTTATTCACCTATATGCATTCCTCTGTTTCCCTGCTGATTTCTGACTGACCTCTGACCCCTTCCTTCTTTTATCGATATGTTTGTTTTTATTTGACTAACCATCCCTTCATCTCTGTGTCTAGATACTTATCCCCTCCCTCAGCTTTATTGCAAGCCTATCTAACCCTCACATATCTTTATGCAACAGCCTGATTTCAAAACTATCAATCCCCAATACTGCTGTAAGAAAGTCTGATACCCGTCCTCCTTTCCCCTCACCATGCTCATTATTACATTTATATATTTTCTGTCACACCCAAACTTTAGATAAGTAAAAATATCAGGTGTAAACACTGACTTTATTAGTACACTCCTGCACTTTCCTAACCCATAAAACTTAATATTTACCCTACCTTCACCTGCTCTTGATATTCCAATTATTTCCAATTTACTTTTTACTTTTTTCCAGTTTAGCAATGATCTGTTTTCTCCTCCTCTTTATTTCCTCCTTCTCCCTCAGTTTAAAAATCTCTCCTCACACTCACTTCACTCATCCCCATCCACATTTACATATCCCCCTCTCTGCTACACTCCCCCTTCTCTCATCTCATGCCTTACACTCATTTTTCTACTCTCTCACTCCTACCCACAATCGATCTCATCCTAGACCCCATGCATACAAAACCCATTCACACCTCCTGTCACTTTCTCTCCTCCTGCCTCTAGCAGCTGGTGATGTCTCTCACAATTCAGGGCCCGTGCTAAGCACTCTGTGGAAACCGTACTCACTGACCAAAGTGTGAAGGGATAACCCCATCACTATTCGGCCAATTGTACTCCCTTCTATCAGCCTTCCCCAGTCATTCGTTCTTTTGTTAAGCTCCATTCGTTATTTTGTTCGGTTCCCAAACCGAGACCACCCCAGAGACTAATCAGAACTGAGAATGTTATGTATCTATATGAAAACCGCAGACTAATTGAATGCTCCTTGGTGGCCGCCATTTCGTGTATATGAATACACATGGTGAGAACAATGGGTGGCGGCCATCTTGTCTCCCAAACGCTGCCTGGAACTGTTTTCGGCAACGCACTTGAACGAACACCGGTCTCTATGGAGCTCTTCTACGTTCCCTTTCCCAGCAACTCAGACGAACGGCGTTCTGGAGTTTCAAACTACCGAACACAGGGAGCATTCTCCACAAACCAGATGGACTTTACCTATTGCGGTTTTCTTATAAAACCCTACGAACAGTTCTTCTGGAACTGTTTCCCGGTCTCAACCTCGTGACAACTCCCTCTGCGGTTCCGTTCGGTAACCACCGAACAGATTTGGCTGATTTTTACTATGTTGCTCCCACAGAGACAGGCTACACAGAGATGCGACTTTTGTGGGGTTCTTATGTATTTTTGGGGTATTCAAGATATTGTGAAAAATTTTACTTTTTCTGACCAGAGAATAATTGAGTTTAGTATGTTCTCTAAACTCAATTATCTTGCTGGCTCAGAGGAGGAGTTATACACTGTTTAAATTAAATGCCTGTGTTCTCATTAAACCAGTATTGTCCCAGCATTAAGCTTTGGCTTATGTGTGGGTTATTATGTGACACCAGCGATATTTGGATTTTGTGGATTATTGGCGTATTATTTTAAGGGTATGCAAGACGGTACCTTCTTAGACCGTCACACAAAGTATCCAATGATCTACTCACTGCAAAATCTCATGGTCACTACTCTATCCTAATTCTCCTTGACCTGTCTTTGGCTTTTGACACTGTTGATCATCAACAGCTTCTCATCCTTCACAATATCGGTCTACAAGATATTGCTCTCTCCTGGTGCTCCTCCTACCTCTCCCAGCGCTCTTTCAGCATTTATTTCTCTGGCTTTGCTTCTTCTCCCCAACTCCTCTCTCTTGGTGTCCCCCAAGGTTCAGTCCTTGGTCCCCTACTGTTCTCTATCTATATTGTCTTCCTTGGTAAACTTATTAGCTCCTTTGGCTTCCAATATAATTTCTATGCGGATGACACGCAAATCTACCCGTCCTCACCTGATCTCTCCCCGTCCCTCTTGACTAGTGTCTCTGACTGCCTCTCTGCTATTTCTAACTGGATGGCTGCCCACTTCCTTAAACTCAACTTGACCAAAACTGAAATCCTGCTACTCCTGTGTCTGTCTCCCTCCAAGTTAACTGTGCTACCATCAGCACCACCACACAGGCTCGTTGCCTAGGTGTTCTTTTTGACTCCGACCTCTCCTTCACGCCTCATGTTCAGTCTATCAAAAATCCTGCCCCTTCCATCTCAAAAACATTGCGCGTATTCGACCCTACTTAACGCCAGATGCGACTAAGGTGCTGGTCCATTCCACTGTCCTTTCTCCCCTTGACTTCTGTAATCCACATCTCAGTGGTCTTACGTGCTCCCAACTTGCTCCGTAACAGTCCATAATGAATGCAGCGGTGAGGCTCACCTTCCTGTTCGCCCGCACTCTTCTGTCAGTCCCTACATACATTGGCTTCCTGTAAGATATAGGGTTCAATTTAAAATTCTTGTTCTTGCTTATAAATCTCTACATAATGCTGCTCCCACCTATCTATCCTCCTTAATACACAAGTATGTCCTGTCTAGGCCCTTACGCTCTGCTGAAGACTTACGTCTATCTTCTGTCCATACTCCCATCTCTGATGCTCGCCTTCAAGACTTCTCGAGGGCTGCACCATTCCTGTGGAACTCACTTCCCTCTTCCGTTAGATGCTCACCCAGTCTCCACTCCTTCAAAAAAAACATTAAAAACCCACTTCTTCATAAAAGCGTATCAATTAAACTGTTCATAGCTCCCAACTGATTCCTCTCTTGCAACTGTCATTAGTCTAATACTATCCTTACCTTTTGTGTCACTTTACCCCACTCCCTCTAGCATGTAAGCTCATTGAGCAGGGCCCTCAACGCCTCTGTTCCTGTGTGTCCAACTTGTCTGGTTCTCAGTGTGTCTGGTTCGGAGGTGTGTTTGTGCTGTACTTGCACAAGTAATGCACCAGGCAAGAATTGTGGATGGCATTTGCTAGCCATCAAGGCCGGATTAACAGAGGGGCTGATGGAGCTGCAGCTCCAGGCCCATGCCTTTGTAATAGGCCCATTGATTTAAAAAAAAAAAAAAAAGTGTGTGTGTATATATATATATATATATATATATATATATATATATATACAAATTCTCTTGCTGCTTCAGTCTCTCTAACATAGTTACATAGTTACATAGTTACATAGCTGAAAAGAGACTTGCGTTCATCAAGTTCAACCTTCCTCATATTTGTTTTTTGCTGTTGATCATTTGCTAGCCATCAAGGCCGGATTAACAGAGGGGCTGATGGAGCTGCAGCTCCAGGCCCATGCCTTTGTAATAGGCCCATTGATTTAAAAAAAAAAAAAAAAGTGTGTGTGTATATATATATATATATATATATATATATATATATATATACAAATTCTCTTGCTGCTTCAGTCTCTCTAACATAGTTACATAGTTACATAGTTACATAGCTGAAAAGAGACTTGCGTTCATCAAGTTCAACCTTCCTCATATTTGTTTTTTGCTGTTGATCAAAAAGAAGGCAAAAAAAACCCAGTTTGAAGCACAATTTTACAACAAGCTAGGAAAAAAATTCCTTCTTGAGACCAGAATGGCAATCAGATTTATCCTTGGATCAAGCAGTTATTACCCTACATTGAAAGATTATATCCTTGAATATTCTGTTTTTGCAAGTATGCATCTAATAGCTGTTTGAACATCTGTATGGACTCTGATAAAACCACTTCTTCAGGCAGAGAATTACACATTCCAGAATTCTTATTGTTCTTACAGTAAAAAAACCTTTCCTTTGCCTTAGACAAAATCTTCTTTCTTCCAGTCTAAGTGCATGACCTCATGTCCTATGTAAAGTCCGGTTTGTGAATAGATTTCCACACAATGGTTTGTATTGGCCCCGAATATATTTGTATAATGTTATCATATCCCCTCTCAGGCAACGTTTTTCTAAACTAAATAGGTTTAAATTTGTTAACCTTTCTTCATAGCTGATATGTTCCATTCCTTTTATTAATTTTGTAGCCTGCCTCTGCACTTTTCCAGTGCCATAATATACTTCTTTAGAACAGATGTCCAAAATTGCATAGCATATTCAATATGTGGTCTTACCAGTGATTTATAAAGAGGCAAAATTATATTCTCGTCCAGAGAATGAATGCCCTTTTTCATGCATGACAATACCTTACTGGCCTTGGTCACTGCTGATTGACATTGCACATTGTTGCATAGTTTGTTGTCTATAACAATTCCCAAGTCCTTTTCGTGTGTTGTTATCCCTAATTTGTTTCCATTAAGGGTATACGTTGCTTGTGTATTCTTCTTTCTTTTTCAACATTAAATTTAATCTGCCATTTGAGTACCCAGTCCCCCAGTCTATCTAAATCCCTCTGCTTCAAAGTAATATTTCGTTCACATTGTATTATTTTACAGAGTTTTGTGTCATCTGCAAACACTGAAACATGACTTTCAATGCTGTCTTCAAGATCATTTATAAAAATGTTAAACAGAAGGTGTCCCAGAACAGACCCCTGATGGACACCACTTGCCACCTCTGTCCAGCTTGAAAAATTACCATTAATGACAACTCTTTGTACTCTGTTTATAAGCCAATGTTCTACCCAAGAACAAGCATTTTCATCTAGACCGATTTCCTTGAGTTTGAACACTAATCTATTGTCTGGAACGGTATCAAATGCCTTGGCAAAATCCAAATAGATCACATCCACTGCAACACCCTGATCTATACTTCTACTTACTTCTTCATGACCTGTGCTTCATAAAACCGTGCTGATTTTTGCTGATAACCATGTTCTTCTCAAGGAATTCTTGAAGATTATCCCTTAATAACTTTTCAATAATTTTCCCAGCCACAGAAGTTAAGCTCACAGGTATATAATTTCCAGGCAAGGATTTTGAACCCTTTTTGAATATAGGAACCACATCTGCCTTCCTCCTATCCTCCGGAACACTTCCTAAAAGAAAATAATCTTGAAAGCTTAAAAACAGAGGTTCACGTATTTCTACACTTAGTTCCTTAAGTACTCGTGGATACTGTCAGGCCCTGGAGCTTTGTTTATATTAACTTTCTTTAGTTGCTGCAGTTGCTGCACAGAGGAGAAATAGTTGTTTAAAATTCCTGCCCTTTCCTGGTCTTCATTAACTAACAGCCCTGTTTCAGTTTTTAGTGTACCTACACTTTCATTTTTGGATTTTTTAGAATTTATGTTGGTTTTGCTCTCTTTAGCTATCATTTTTTCATTTTGAAGTTTAGCAAATCTAATTACCTTTTTGCACGCATTATTTGCTTCCTTATCTTTTATAAGATGCATCTGATTTGTCCTATTTAAATGCTTTAAATGCCCTTTTCTTAGTTGTAATCTCTTGTTTTACTTCTCTACTAAGCCACATTGGTTTTAATTTGTTTCTTTTATATTTATTTCCCAATGGTACATACTGAGAAATGTACCTTTCTAATATTTGTTTGAAGATTTTCCATTTATCCTCAGTGTTCTTTTCACTAAAGAGTTTATGCCAGTCAATATATTGTAAAGTTGCCCTTAACTTATTGAAATTGGTCTTTTTAAAATTATATGTTTTAGTATACCTCATGTGCTTTTGGTTTTTTTTGAGTTTTTTTCAAAGGACACTACATTGTGATGACTATTTCCCAAGTGCTCACCTACTTGAATGTTGGTCAAAAGATCAACGTTGTTTGTTAAAACCAGGTCCAGACAAGCGTCCATTCTAGTTGGTGCTTGTACAAGTTGTGACATGAAGGTGTCATTTAACAAGTTTAAAAACCTAATTCCCTTTGCTGAGCTACTAGTCCTTCTGTCCCAATTTATGTCCGGGTAATTAAAATCTCCAATAATTAAAGTGTTACCCAGATTTGCAGCTTTCTCAATTTGCTCAAACAGCTGTTGTTCCTCGTCAATATTAACATTAGGTGGTTTATAACATATCCCAACCAATAGTTGGTTTCCCTTCTTTTCCCCAAGCAGATATTTACCCATAAAGCTTCCACATTTACCTCATCGCATTCCACTTGCTTAAGATTTGGCATTAAATCATGGTTGACATACAAACATACCCCACCACCCTTCTTGATTTTCCTATCCTTCCTAAATAACATGTACCCATTTAAGTTAACTGCCCAGTCATGTGTCTCATCCCACCATGTTTCAGTTATGCCTATTATATCATATTGTTTAGTGTATGCTACTGCCTCTAGTTCCCCCATTTTGTTATTTAGGCTCCTTGCATTAGTAAGCATACATTTAATACACTGTGACATGTTCCCATTCTTCTACACTCACTACTGGTACATCCACGTTTTCTCTGTCCCCAGGCTGTAACAGGAGCTTCTGCCTGCTAGTAAGAAGGTTAGGAGAGTAGTGGACCAGCGAGTGCTACGGGACAGTTCTTAGAAAGCGTAGAGCTAGCGCATCATTAGATGAATTTATGCCAAGCTCAGGGTGCTGTCTGCACAGTATGCCCTTGGTTGGTCATCCTGCATGATTGACAGGCAGCCAGACGGCATTCACGCCAGGCTGACAATCTAATTCTTTGTGCATATTTGTCCCTTTGGGCAGTTCTGGTTATGGTTCTGGATTTACTTGAAAGATGAAAGCGAGAGATTAGCATAGGGTATGTGTTTTCTGATACTCTCCAGCACTACCTCCACCAGATACATGACACTTGGTAGGTATAACTGTTTTAGTGTTTTCTGTTGCTAAAATTCTGTAATTAGGCCCATCACAATTTTCAGCACCAGGCCCAATGGGCCCTGAAACGGGCCCTGGTAGCCATTACTGTATGGGTTTCTGTTTGGGCTGGTGACCTGTGCTCTCAATGCATTCCAGGCCTTTACTGGTATAATGGGATATTTTTGGTAGACTGTGGTATCTGAGGGTGACAGACTAATAGATTCCAAGTATGTATTATGCCTCCGAAGGAGTTTGATAGTGTATGCAGGGAGATGAGATAGTGATAATGACATTCACAACAAACACTGCTTCTCATGGGCAATGTAGTCAGTGAGAGTCTGCATCTCTTAGATGTGCACAGGTATCTGTAAATGTTACTTCATACAGTACAGGTTACACTGATGGAGGTTGCAGAGATATATGATGACAATCTCCAGCAGCTGCAATCTGCCAAATCTATATACACTTATCAGCAACATCATTAAATCCACTGACAGTTAAAGTGAATAACGGATTATATATCTTTATAGCGGCCAAATAGTGATGGCTAGTGTCTTGGTGCCAAATACCACAGGGCACATTTAGAGGTTTTGTGGAGTCCATGCCTTAACGCATCAGAACAGTTTTGCCAGCCTGAGGGAGACCTACACAATACTAGGAAGGTGGTTTTAATGTTGTGGCTGATCAGTGTATATTGCATACTACATGTGTGTGTGACCATCCAGAGGTCTGTGAGTCTAATTTGTTCTTGCCCCCCAGGCCAACAAGTGGCCATCCTTTCCCTGGTTATGTGCAAGTTATGTTGGTCTGAATGATGTGCTTACCATTACTTTTGTTTTGTATTATTTACAGACAACCTCTCAGAACAATTAATTAGAAGTTGTGATATCCAGATGAAGTCAAGACAAGAAAAAACAATACAGACGTCTCATAACAAGGAATTGGAACAAACACAACCCCGCAGAAAAGATACCCCTGCTTTGCACATGGTGCCATTTGTACCTGGTAATAATAATAATAATAATTTCACCCACCATAGTTTAGGGAAGTAACAGTGACAAATACGGTTATCTCTCTAAGTATTATAATCACTATAGCTCATTGTAGTAGTTATGGTACTATAAGCCTATGTGCCCTGGACCCATTTACTGTTAGACTTCTTCTGGGGTAGATTAAAAAAACTTGGGTCTCTATTTGACACCTATTGTGTGCCCAATCTGCAGATATATTCATATTGTGGATATTATACTTCAAATCTAGCTAACTTGGCCCACCCCACCCCTCATGTTGTCAGTGAGGTTTGGACTTGATAACACAGAAGTGTTATATTTGCATTATCATTTCAATGTCAGAGAAGGTGGGTTATGGATGCCAGGAAGAGCACCATGTTTTTCTCAGTTATAGAAAGTTATATGGCACCATAACCATTACAATGAGCTGTATTGGTTTGTGTGTTTAGATTTCACTTTAATGGTAAAAAATGTATCTAAACAAATTTCAGTTTCAGATGTACTATAGCTGTACTGGGTTACAGTAAATCTAACATTTATGTTGAGGATATTGGAGAATTCAGGTAAGCAAAGGCTATTAATTGCTCTTTTAATTTATTTTCAAGATTTTTCAGGAAGGTTATTTAAATCATATGATGCAAATGAGAGACAAAAGAAGAGTAACACAATGCCATCTGCCCACAATAAGGAACACGAATTAAGAAAACCTAGAAGAAAAGATACACCTGCTTTATACATATCACCTCCTCAAGCAGGTAAGAAGATGGCAAAGGTTTATCTACAAGACCCTTGATAAAAGGACCATTTAAACAGCTGATGAACAATGTACATTCACTATTACTGTGGCATTTAAATGTCAGTAGTGAACACTGTACAACATCACCTGCCAAGAAGGGGTTAAAACAAATCAAAACATTAAATGCTTCCAATTCCATTTCATCCATCAGCACAATCACTATCAAAATGTATACAATAATGTATTAAAACATAACATAAACAAACAAACATGTCTGACTAGGTTTATAAAAATTACTTGTCTATTTCAAGTTGCATAGAAACTCGATAAAATCATGTTATTATTATTATTTTATTTATATAGCGCCAACAAATTCCTTAGCGCTTTACAATGGGTGGACTAATAAACATGTAAGTGTAACCAAACAAGTTTGACTCACAGAAACAGAGGGGTTGAGGGCCCTGCTCAATGAGCTTACATGCTAGAGGGAGTAAGGTAAAGTGACACAAAAGGTAAGGGAAGTATTAGGGAAGTAGATTGGTAGGATAGTATTCAATGAAGACTTAGTGTGGGTTTTTTGGAGCCATTAACAGAGAAGGGAAGGGAGTGCCACAGGAACGTTGCAGCCCTAGAGAAATCTTGAAGGTGAGCATCCGAGGTGGGAGTATGTACAGTGGATAGACGTAGGACTTCGGCAGAGCGTAAGGGCCTAGATGGGACATATTTGTGTATTAGGGAGGATAGATAGAACAAGAATTTTATATTGAGCCCTATATCTTATGGGAAGCCAATGCAGGGACTGACAGAGGGGTGAGGCATGGGAGGTGCTGGTGGACAGGAAGATGAGCCTTGCTCCCGCATTCATTATACACTGCAACGGGGCAAGTTGGGAGCACATAAGACCATTGAAAAGGGGATTGCAGTAGTCAAGGCGAGTGAGGACAGAGGCATGGACCAGCACCTTAGCGGCATTGGACGTTGAGTAGGGGCGGATGCTCGCAATGTTTTTGAGATGGAAGCTGCAGGATTTGGCGATCAACTGGACATGAGAGGTGAAGGAGAGATCAGAGTCAAAGAGAACATCTAGGCAGCAAGCCTGCGTGGTGGAGCTGATGGTAGCACCATTAACACGGAGGGAGACAGAGATGGGAGTAGCAACACTTGAGGGAGGAAAGACCAGAAGTTTTGTTTTGGACAAGTTAAGTTTAAGGAAGTGGGCAGCCATCCAGTTAGAAATAGCAGAGAGGCAGTCAAGAGGGGCGAGAAGAGATCAGAGGAGGATAGATAGATTTGCGTGTCATCCGCATAGAAGTGATATTGGAAGCCAAAGGAGCAGATGAGTTTACCAAGGGAGGCAGTATAGATCGAGAACAGAGGGGGGACCAAGGACTGATGTTAAACAAAAAGATACATCCAACACTTTATACAAGTAAATAATGTGATGGAAAAACACTTATCTTAATAGATAGTGATAGCCTTCTCCAGGAATATCCCAGACTATATTCCTTTCTATATGGTACAAAAAGCAGCAATTATATTGGAGAGTGTGACTGTAGATCTACAAATGAGATTAGGGAAACACAAAAGGAACATATATAGTGTAATACTGTTTTGTAAAAAGTAAATAGTGCAGACATAAATTGCACTCACAAGATGTTGTAGAAATAATCACAGAAGGGTGACTCCCCCGATGGTTTTGGGGGGCTAATCCAGGACGACTCTTCCTGTAGCAATTACGCTGCGAGTATGGAGAGCCGGACTCAGGATTCAGGTGAAAAAAGACTGCTGTTTATTGTATAAAGTATATATAAAAACACTAAAATAAAATAAAGCTAAAAAGCAAAACAACAAAATAAGTTGCTAGGAGTAATCCTACATGTTTTGCCCCAAAGGACTTCCTCAGGGACTCTCCAAATAATTTTAGAAACAATTATAAAGATAAAATAAAGATAAAATAGCAAGCAGAGTGACAAAATAAAACCATCACAATTCAAACAAAGCAGTATACAACCCTCCCCCCTGAGTCTCTCTTTATAAATGGCTCTTGAATCTTCTTATTGGTGGTACATAGGGTATTTCCTCATGTTCCCCAGCTGTCCGTAATCAGTTCATATTGCTTTCTGATTCCCTGTCCGATTGAAGCTTCTTTCCTGTTTTCGTGTGTCACTTCTGGTGCGCCGATTTTCATTGGCACATAACTGTGACATTTGCGTTACACTCAACAGTGATCGTGCGTTCTACCCACGATATATGTATTTCGATGTTTTCTCGTCTCTGTTCAGTCTACAGAATAATAATAAGCTGGCAGAATGAAAAGTGTACAAAATGGATATGTATGTGATGGCCCAAAAAACATAAACCATGCTTCTATGGACAACAGTGTTAAGATTCATATGTATTTGGGGAGAGCTTCCGGTTCCTAGTCTCCCTATGGAAAGCAAACCTATTCATATTTTCTCTATAATGAAATTATACAAGGAAGTTATTCTTCCAAGTGTTAAAGTGCAACAGAATTCCATTTGGAGATGGAACCGAAGGCTCTTACCACCACATATAATAATACAATGTAGAGATTTATTGCAGTATGAAAACAGTCAAATATATTGTGCATATAGAGAAAAAATATTAAGATAAGATAAAGAAAAAAAGAAAATGAATAAAAATAAAATAAATATAAAAATAAATATGAAAATAAATAGCTTGGGGTCTGCCTTTGCTCTTCCCCCGCTGATGTCAGCCAGCGGGGAAGACCTAATGCACATGCACAGCAATGGCCATCCTCACATTAGAACAGCCCCTTTGGAAAGCATTATACAGAGGAAAGCTGGATGTCCTCATACTTAGCATGAGGTCGTCCAGCATCAGTTAGGCGACCAACAGTCTGGTATACAGCCACTAGAGGTGGAGTTAATCCATAAAGGTAATTATTGCAGTTAATCAAAAGCTGCAATAATTACCTTTCCAGGGTTAAGGGACCTGGAAATATGCACCAAGACTACTTCAATGAGCTAAAGAGGTCTGGGTGCCTATTGTGTTCCTTTAATTCAGTCAATGAGAGATCCGTCTAAGCTGAGCTGCTGACTTGACTTGTACAGTATTTCAGATTTTTGCTAAGTGTAAAGGGTTCAAATAATAAGAGTACAGGGATTGGCTACAATGAGTATATAATAAGGAAGTTACACAGTAAAAAGAGGGTGCGTGCAGCCATGCTGCAGAAAGCTGAAATTTTGTTTTGGCAAAACTAATTTAAAAAACAGCAAGACTATAAGGCTGAAATCGAATACCTTGCATTTATGTTGGTGCAAAGAGTATAACTTGAGTGTCCTTTTAATTTTAATTGTCTGTTATTTTTCTTATTTAGGTACCAAATGCATGAAAGGAGAAGGGAAATCCATTATTCAAGAGGATGAAGAAAAAGATGGATAAAACTACAGTGGATTGACGCATGAGGTTTATTCACTGAATTGGGAATGGCCTTTTTAGCAAGACGAGCATTTCTCCTCTTCTAGCCTAAAAAAAAGTATTTCCCATTTTAATTTTCCACAAAGCGTGGATAGTGAACAAGACCAATATAGGTTTTAATGTTGATAGCAATCTTCTGAAATAGTAGGCCTTACTCTTTTGGATAACTAAGCACATTAATGGCAAAATGTTATGCCTGGAGTAATACTGCCACTACACAATGTTCAATGTGCCACCACTACCCAAATTCAGGAGTGTCATAATTACATTATAATCATAGTTGAGATGTGCAAACAGACTTTGCTGTAACTAAGCTTTCTGCTCTAGTCTTTTTTTTCCCACTTGCACATATGTTTTATCTGTACCAGTGTGATTTGAGAAAATTTGCTCAATATTTTCTAGGTTTGAATGCAACAATGTTTTTTTTTTTAGAAAAACAATGCAAATTTTTTGTAACTTTTTCAGCTGCAGGGTGCATTAAAATATTGATCTTGGGGAAAAAAAACCCAATAAATTACACAATGCTGGAGTTTTATTTAAATAATGATTAATTTTAAGGAGAGAGGCTTTGGTGACTCTATGGAGGCATATGTACATAAGCGGTTAGTAATCAAGCTCCCAATGTTTGTTATAAAATAATTTTTGGGGAAAAAACACAGGATATATACTTAATATACCAACATCTGATACCAACATCCTCAACTCAATTATTCTTAAAAAGAATATCCTCATATGGTTTCAAAAGGGTATCAGCCACCTGTAAAATTGCTAAAGAATGACATTTCAAGAGATTTTAAAGGAGTCCCATAATAAATAAATAATGAATTCACTCCATTGAAAACAGTAAAGTACTGCTTGAAAGTAACCAACATCACAGTTACAGGGGCATTCACTAGATTGAGAATTGTCAGGAATTCCCAACATTTTAAATGAAAAAAGAGAGACAATTTCATTTTATGAGTGTTAGTGGAGATTTGTGGCCATTTGAGTCCATTTTGAGAAAATTTAGATGGCTTACTAATAACAATTTATAGAACTAAAATGTAATTTAAAATACGAACAATATATCTAAAATACTCAGACTAAGTTCTAAACACATTTATTGTAGTTTAAAGATACATTATTACTGTGGAGCTCTGATATACACTCCAACTCACCAACAATATGGAGCTCATAGAAAAGAGGGACATTAAGATAGAAAAGTGTAACAGACTGATTTAGGCCCCACATAGGGACTGTCTCTGTTAAGTAGGAACAAATTAGAGGTCTTGTGAAACAAATAGCAACACTGAGATGGATTGGTCATTTTGAAAAAAGTCTGCAGTGGGAGCATCTACAATAATGGGAAGAGATAAGCCGTTTGTAAAACTGGTATCTAGCCAGCCTATATGTTGTCAGGGGAGAAGAAGTGTGGTCGGTAATTAACTTTACTCTATCAAGATGATGGGAGTGTTGGCTTGGGAATGACTATACTGAAGGAAGCTGTTCTTTCCAACAGCTGAGGGAATAGCTCATCTAGTGTAGGAAGGATCTAGAAAGCAGAGAAGGCGATACAAGTGATGGTAAAGTGTATAATGTGTGTTTGCATGTTGTATGTAATGTGTGTTTGCATGTTGTGTTGGTGTTGGATTACTGGGATGTAATTACTGGTATGTAATGTGTGTATAATGTGTGTTTGCATATTGTATGTAATGTGTGTTTGCATGTTGTGTTGGTGTTGGATTACTGGGATGTATGTACATACACTGTCACATACATACTTACACAGATAAACATATACATTAGCACAGATACAGACATAAACACACTGACACACATACAGACACAAAGATACACACACTGGGACAAACACACTGTGACACATATACACATTGGCACATACACACATACACAAAGTGACACAGACCTTGACATAAAGATAAATACACTGACCAACTTACTCACTTCATATCATCAACACTGGATATAGCACAGGGCAATACACCAGGCACGATATATGAAAAGACTTGCTCTACACACAATATCAAGAAAAAAACACTTATCCACATTCTATAGGCTCATACAACAGGAAAAAGCTTCAGACCCTCCACTAAACAGTGGGAGGAAGAGCTAAACCTCTCCATAACTGAGAAGGATTGGAATCAAATTTTTTCCAACCTATTCAAATCCACTATCAATAACAGTACAAATGAAGGCAACTACAAGAGACTCTCGAAATGGCACTACACTCAAATGAGATTACGTAGGTTCTTCCCTGGAACATCAAACAGGTGTTGGAGATGTCTCCTATCTAGAGGTTCACCAGGCCATATTTGGTGGCATTGCACCACGATACCGGGGTACTGGGATAGAATAGCAACCCTTATACACACGATTACAGGCCTACACATCCTGAAAGTACCTGAAACTATGCTATTCATCTTATACCACACCCCTATGAAGAGGCCCCAGCGTATTTTGCTTAACCACCTCCTCACAGCAGCTAACCTACTTATCCACTTTGCTGGAAGCGATCCAGAGTCCTATCCATCAGGAAGTGGATCCAAAAAGAGGAATCGGTGAGACATATGGAGGAACTTACATTTTCTCCAACACACATATACAGATTTTACACCCTCACCTTGGAACCCTGGCTAAGTCTGGGAGGAAATTACAGCATCTGATATTGCCAGGGCCGGTCGCCCTCTTAAATTGCTGCAATGCCTAACTGAGACCCTGTTCACCAATACCCATTGGGTAGACCTAAATGCATGCAGTGGTGTAGCTAGAGCATTTGCCACCCCTATCTCAACCCACGTCAATGCCGGGGCAGTAGCGGACGTCCGTGATTGCACCGGATATACCTCTTTTAAGTACTCAACGCCTCTAGTTTACAACCCTTTCAAGCTTTTTTAAGTTATACACCCAATGAATACATGCCTGAAAAATTAATGCATGTAATTCATTGGGGGCATATCTACTAAACAGTGATTTTATGGGGGGTGCCCATAATTGTTATTCTTTGGCAAGGAGGGATGGGGTGTGTGGAGGGGGGCTGTGGAGGGTGCAGGGAGAGAGTCTATGCAGGGAGAGAGGGGTTCTGTGGAGAGTGCAGGGGTATCTGTGCAGGGTACAGGGGAGAGAGGGGATCTGTTCAGGGGAGGGAGAGGGATCTGTGCAGGAGATGCAGGGGGACTGTTAGGGTGCAGGGGATAGAGGGGATCTATGTTATTTCTCTATGTTAAATTCCATCTGCCATTTTAGTGCCCAGTCACCCAATCTATCCAAATCCCTCTGCAGCAAAGCAATATCCTGCTCACATTTTATTACTTTACAAAGTTTTGTGTCATCTGCAAACACTGATACATGGCTTTCAATGCCTATTTCAGAATCATTTATAAAAATGTTAAATAGAAGTGGTCCCAAAACAGAACCCTGAGGGACACCACTTACCACTTTTGTCCAGCCTGAAAATTTACTATTAATTACAACTCGTTGTACTCTATCCTTAAGCCAATGTTCTACCCAAGAACAAGAATATTCATCTAGACCAATTTCTTTTAGTTTGAAGACTAACCTATTGTGAGGAACCGTATCAAATGCCTTGGCAAAATCCAATTAGATCACATCCACTGCAACACCCTGATCTATACTTCTACGGTACAACACCTGAAACAAAAGAATCTTGAAAAATTAAATACAGAGGTTCACTTATTTCCCCACTTAGCTCCTTAAGTACTCGTGGGTAAAGACGGTTAGGCCCCGGAGCTTTATTTACATTAATTTTCTTTAATAGCTGTAGCACCTTGTCTCGAGTTATCCAATCACAAGTTATTTGCACGTTTTTTTGCAGCAATCATTTACATATCTCTTGCCATAGGATCCTCATTAATATATACTGAAGAAAAATAGTTATTTCATATTTCTGCTTTTTCCTGGTCTGCATTAGCTAATAAACCAAAATATGTTTCAAGTGTACCTACACTTTCATTTTTAGTTTTTTTAGAATTGATGTACTTGAAAAAAATTTGGGGGTTGGTTTTGCATTCTTTAGCTATCAATTTCTCATTTTCTAGTTTAGCCACTTGAATTGCCTTTTTGCAAGCGTAATTGGCTTCCTTATATCTTAAATAGGATGCCTCTGATTTGTCTGATTTAAATGCCCTTCTCTTATTTTTAATCTCTTGTTTTACTTCTCTACTAAGCCACATTGGTTTTAATTTGTTTCTTTTATATTTATTACCCAATGGTACATACGGAGAAATGTACCTTTCTAATATTTGTTCGAATAGTTTCCATTTATCCTCAGTGTTTTTATCACTAAAGAGTTTATACCAGTCGATATGTTGTAGAGCTTCCCTAATCTAATTGAAATTGGCTTTTTTTTTTTAATTATATGTTTTAGTATACCCCTCTTGCTTTTGCTTTTTTGAGTTTATTTCAAAATTTACCATATTGTGACCACTATTTCCCAAATTCTCCCCTACTTGAATGTTGGTTAAAAGATCAACATTGTTTGTTATAATGAGATCCAGACACGCATCCTTTCTAGTTGGTGCTTGTACCAGTTGTGACATAAAGGTGTCATTTAACACATCCAAAAACCAGATTGCTCTTGCTGAAGTACTAGTCCCTCTATCCCAATATATGTCTGGGTAATTAAAATCTCCAATAATTAACGTGTTACCTCAATTTGCAGCTTTCTCAATTTGCTCTAACAGCTGTTCTTCCTCAATAATATTTACATTTAGGTGGTTTATAACATATCCCAACCAATAATTGATTTCCCTTTGCTTGCCCCAAGCAGATATCTACCCATAAAGCCTCCACATTTTACTCTTCACACTCCACATGCCTAAGATTTGACTTTAACTCATGGTTGACATATAAACATACCCCACCACCCTTCTTGTTTTTCCTATCCTTCCTAAATAACATGTACCCATTTAAATTAACTGCCCAGTCATGTGTCTCATCCCACCATG